AAATTTTTAAATTTTACATCAGTTTAACATGGGAAAAAAGTCAGAATTCTGACTTTTTCTCAGAATTCGGACTTTTTTATTGTCAGAATTCTGAGGAAAAAAAATCAGTTAACTTTTTTTTTTTTTTCCTCTGGCCCTAATCCTCTTCCGTAGAAAGCCCACCCCGAGAAGTGAAGATTTGTAAAAACATATGTTAAACGCAATTTTAAAATAATAGAAACTTTAAGGGAACTAAAAAAAAATAGATAAATAAATATATATAAAAAAATAAGGTTTTCACATTTTATTTTCTGGGTTGCATTTCCTCAAATTTCTAATAACAAAACTTGTTCTTGGCTTGCAAAAATAAGGGAATAACTTTTGCACCACAGAGAAAAAGAGAGGGAAAGTAACTTTATCTGTAACTTTCACCCAGAACAAGTCATTTGTTTGCACGTCCAATTACTGATTAGCTGAGGCTGCAGAGGGAGCTCTGTAACGACTAAAAGAGTTAGTGTCTCATTCTGATTCTGTTAAAGGGCAGATTTGTTGTTTTATAGAACTAGACCCCGGATTTTATAGATCCAGCAAAATATCCTGTTCTACTCTAAACAGAAACTCCCTGGAATACAAAAAGATGGAAACTTTATTATTTGCTGTAGTTTCTTCTATCACTGAGAGGAGGGGGACTGCCTAGTTTGCAGCTTGTGTCAGAAGCACTTCTATAACCATATCTATATAGCTGATAAAGTCTACACCCATGAGTCGACATCTCCAGCAGAGATGTTATAAGCGTACTCTCCTTCTAACCTTTCCAGGGTCTGAGAGCTGGCTCTCTCCACTTCCCGGGCACAGCTTCCAGTTACCAGGGACAGGTCCCCACGGTGCGAGAAGTGGAGCCCAATTATTACGACTACAAGAACGAGACCCTCTGGCACGAGAACACAGACAAGGTGATGGGCTGGTTCAGAGATCAGAATCTGGACTTTGTGTCTTTGTACTTTGGCGAACCAGACGGCACGGGCCACAGATACGGGCCCGACTCACAAGAACGCAAAGACATGGTGAAGCAAGTGGACCGGACCGTAGGCTACATCCGAGACTCAGCTGAAAAGCACGGGCTGACCGAGCGACTGAACATCATCATCACAGCAGACCATGGCATGACCACCATCTATCGTAGTGCCCAGTTGGAAGAAATCACCCTCTCCAAGATCCCAGGCTTTAACTTCAGCGATGTGTCCTTCCACCTGTTGGACTATGGACCTACAGGGATGATGCTTCCTAATCCTGGAAAGCTGGAGGCGGTTTACAAAGCCCTGAAGGGGGCTCATCCACACCTGCACGTGTATAAGAAGGAGGAGATGCCAGAGCACCTTCACTTCACCAAAAATGACCGCATCCTGCCTATCATTTTATGGACGGACCCTGGATATGTCCTCAATGGGGTGCGTATATTGCTTCTCCTCCTTTTTTCCTCTTGTTTTTTTACCTCTAAACACTGTGGGTGCATCAAATTAATTACATTATAATCAAACACTTTACGGTCATAGCTACAACTTTTTCATCATAACGATTAATCTTTAAAAAGGTTATCCAGTCACAGAATGTCCAGAGTAGTGCAGAATAAAAGAAAAAGGTTTATATAACAAAAAAATCTACATATAGCATGAAAATAATTGTTTAAGGAATTTTGAAGAGTCCAGAATGTATCGATTTTAACTTCTGGTTATAGTGTGATGTCACTACCCCATCCGTACCATCAGCTCATTTGCACATGAGCAAGCAGATATTCATCAAAATCGCCATAAATAATGTAATTATTGTTCTAAAATTACTTATATTTATCCTTAAATCCCAAAAAATGCTAAACTACATATTTAAACAAGACTTTACCGAGTTAATTTGAGGCTTTTTACATTTTCTCCAATAAACCGCTCGCCCGATGTCCTTATCAGACATGTTGACAGTCTGGCAAAAAATGATTTAAAATGCAGATAAACCATGTTTATCAGTATTTTCATTGTTTCTTTCTTTAGATTAGATTACGCATGTGCCATAATGTTAAAACAAAAGGAAAAAATAACACTGAAAAAGACTAGATTTATGTCTAAATCCAAAGCCAGAAAAGTTAGCTCCTGGAAGTAGCGTAGCATCTCATTTTCGGCACAGACGAGTTATAAAACGGAAAGAATTTAAATGCATTTATCTTCTCAGGAAATGCAATAGTAACCTTTTAGACATTATAGTTTAGTGCGCTTATTAAGTAATTTATGTAATTTTTACAAAGTAAAATCAAAAGCGCCTTAGACAACTTTAATTGTCATTTTCTATACACAAAGTGTATACAAGAATTTCGTTTAGTGCATCTTTCCAGACAGGAAATGAACGTTTCTGTTCTGTGAAGTGCAGCCAGATATATCTGGTTACTCATGTGCAAATGAGCTGATGGTACAGATTGTTAACCT